GCTTCTAGTCAAGAAGGAGGCTATTTAGTTTTTGGGGAGTCAAAAGTTATACATGGATTTTTAACTGCACAAGGGATTGGTGCCCCCAACCCCCATGTTATTCAAGGGTCAACCATATAACCTTTTCAGATTGGCTTCTTTACTTAGTAATATGCACTTAAGCCCTCCCTACCATTTTTCATGGCTTAATGGTCATTTCATTTTAGCATTGAATAATCTTCCATTGTACAGATGAACAACAGTTTACCCATTCATCTACCAAAGGACATCTTGGTTGCTTCCATGAATAAAGCTGCTATAAACTCCATGTGCAGATTTTTGTGTGCCCAGTGCATTTTTACCTTCATAGTCTGAATGTAGAGCTAATTTTCTTAATCAGATCCTAACAAGTCAAATCAAAATATTTATCAATATGACTGGTAGGGTTTATCCTTCAAATACACAATGAAACAACAGGAAGTATATTACTATGGTAGGAATAGAAAACTGTAAATTGATTATTTTATTGATTGTTCTGAGGAATTAACTCTGTTTTGTTATTTCCCTGTCTTTTCTCTCCCCTTGCCCTTTTCAACCATGAACACAATTAGCAATAATATAGTGGATCAATAGATGCTGTAGCCAGATTGTTTGTGTTTGTTTCTATTTGAATAATGGGACTCTGACATTTATGAGCTGCCTAACGTGGAGCGAGTTACTCAACATCTTTGTGCCTTTTCTTCCTCATCTTTAAAATAGGAATTTTTAATAGGGCCCACCTCATGGATTAAATGAGTTTATATCCATAACTCATAGAATACCTGGCACATAAGTATTTATCAAATAAGATGAATAATATGCATGTGGATCTCTTGTGTGAATGCTGGTCTCACAGGCCTGTACACAGGAGGTTGTTCTGCTGAGTCAAACTGTCAGGTTTGCAATTTGACTTTATCTTACCTACAGGCCAAGAAGTTAGACTGTTCCTGTTGTAAGAAATCCTGTTATGCTGGAAGAAGACACAAAACATCTGAATCAGAGAAAAAGAACTGTTTTACTTCAAGCACAACATTAAAAATGTGAACATCAGTGTTTGCGTTGATTCTTCTTGCCCTTAAGTTCTACAGGGGTGATGCCAAGGGGCCCACAGGTAGATGCCACACATGTGGTGTGTTTGTGTTGCAGTGGGGAAACAATGAGCTTGAAGAACCCACTGCTTTTCCAGCAAGCAGCAAGCTAAGCTTGCTCTTTGTTGCAGAGGGAGATATTCCTTCATCCCACAAAACTGCTCACTGCAAACATAACCATGAGAAATGACTTGGGTAAAGAGTGGTGTGGCAGAAAGCGTGTAGGCCCATGTGGGGAAATGGAAGTTCCTATGGCCAGGATCCTCCTCACCTGAACTAAACTATCTGATGATGTAACTGGCCTGCTACTAGGCTACTGCTTCACATGCGCTGGCAATGAGCTATTATTGACTAAGTCACTATATAAAGAACTCCCCCGAGTACTCTGGGTGGAGGCAAAGACAGAGGTAGATTATGGACCTGCAGACAGCTGGGTGCAGATGTGATTCTAATTCTCGATCTACCACCAGTTGATTGCCAGCTAGACTTATTGACTTACTACTAACTGAAAATAGCACAAGTGATGAGATGTTGCTTCTAAGATGAGGTTATAAAAGGACTGTGGCTTCTGTCTTAGACACCCTCTCAGGTTCTCTCACTACTCACTCTGAGGGAATACAGCTGTCATTTGTCAGCTGCCTATGGAAAGCCCTTATGGCAAGGAAAGAATGTCTTTGGCCAATAGTCAGCAAGGACCCGAATCCTGCCAACAGCCATGTGAGCTTGGAAGCAGAATCTCCCCCATTCGAGCCTGGAGTTGACGCAGCCCTGGCCAACACCTTGACTATAGCCTTGTCAGAGACCCTGATCCACAGCACCCAACTAAACTTTGCCCAGATTCCTAATCCACAGAAACTGTCAGAAAATAAATTTGTTGTTTTAAGCCTCTGTGTTTTGGAGTAATCAGTTATCCAGTCATAAAGATAATATAAACAGTCAGGGCCTTGATTCTTGGCATACTAAACAAGGTGCATTGGCATGAGAGAGTGATAGATAACTATCTTTGGACAACAGGGTAAAGACAACCCAGGGGTAGGCAATACCGTCTTCCTCAAAGGATGACATGCTTAGTGTCTATTATCTAGGCAAGAGGCTGATACTGAGACTGGAAACTAGAATTTTCAAGGAAATCATGAGCTGAAAATAACCTTACCAATCTTAAGAGATAGTTTTTGAAGATGTTTGATTGCTTAAGGACATAATGCTGTGTAGAAAGAAAGTGGTTTCTGCTTCATGCATGCAGTGGGAAGCAAGGTAGGGAAGAATCCTTTCAGTGTCAAATGCTGAAATGCCTGTGCTGCATTCAGTGAACCATATTATCTAGTTGTACATGATTCTCTGTACTCATTTACCTTCTGCTCACCTGAGTGAGCCCTTTGTAAATTTTTGTTTGAATATGTTCCCTGGTCTTACCTGTATTCCAGGAAATTATGAGTCAAATGCTTGAGTCATAATATTAAAGGGGAAACAGTGCCCCCTGAAGGCCAGAGTGTTAATGCTCAAGGACCGACAAAATGCAGGAGAGGCTAGGCTAGGCAAGAGAGAAGGCAAGGTTCTTTATAAATGCTAAGAAAATATTTGATAAAATTTAAAATATCTAGCATCTGTAATAAATTGGTATTAAAAAATGTGTAACTATGTGTGGTGATGGATGTTAACTATACTTATTGTGGCAATCATTTCACAGTACTGTATATACAAATATCATACCATTATGGTATACACCTGAAACTATTATGTCAGTTATATCTCAATTTTAAAATTTCATTCTAAATGACTTTTTAAAATTGTAAAAAGAAAGAAATGAATTTGTATGGAAGGGTCTTTTTCCTTCCCCCTTTAACACAATAGAGAGCTTTTTTTGCAGAGTCACCTTTCTATGCATAATGGAGGGTCAAGCAGTACTGTAGTTAAGATCATAGGCTTTGGAATATGACAGGTCTTCCTTTTGTTAACTGTGTGTCCTTGAGCAAGTCGATATATCAGCCTATTTCTTCATCTGTAAAACAAAGATAATATCTCATTGGATTATAGTGAGGATTAAATAAAATTGTGTATATAATTTCCTGAGCACACAGTATTTGGAAGCTGCTATTATTAGCTATAACTACAATTCCTGCTACTATATTGAGATAAGGGTGTTCCATGTAACCATGACTACTTAATATATGATTCTATGTGCTGGTAATAGTTTTCAGATAAGAAGAATTTACAGAAGATGTAAACTAAAATAAATACAAGGAAGACTCAATGGGCAAGAAAACCCAAGAATATTTGTAAAGATAAAGGAGAAAATATAATTTTAAAACTTTTTATTCAATATATACATGAAATTGTGACAAATATATAATTAGTATCACCCCTCTACTGGATAAGTGGTCAAAGGAGATAAAAAAGCAATTTAACAAGTGTTATCAAATGGCATTTTTATTATTAGTTAAGAAATGCACAGTGATACAATTTTCAGGTCTCATATACTTTTTACAGTTTCAAATGTAAATGAAAAATGAAAAGAATGGTATATGAGAAGACATAGGAAGAAGGCACTGAACACTGGCACAATACAACTGACTTTGTCTCTTACCAGCAGTGAGGGCAGATATGTTACCCTCCCTCTCTGCACCTCAGTTTCCTCATTTGTACATATGAGACAGAAACAGATCTTATACATTCACAGTACTAAATGAGAAGACATGAAAGCCCAGAGCACAATACAAGGCATAAATGCTAAGAAAATATTTGATAAAATTAAAAATATATATATATTTTTAATTTAAAATTATCCTCATTGAGACTGTTCAAGTACAGTTGGACAATATCCATCATATCATAGACAAATTTTCACAAATGCCTAGGGTGCCTAACTGGTTTTCTTGGCTTCACTGGAGATGGCTGGTAATTATAGATTTGCTTAGTTTATGTCACCATATTCCTATTATGTTAATATGTGTGCGCAAGTTAGTTAGTAGTTTAAAACCTATACATGCTTAAGGTACTCTACAAGAAGATATGTCAAAGAAATAATCAATCCTCCCATGTTTTCTTTCATATGCTACCTCTATAGCTTTTCTTCTTCCTCCCTAATTACAACCCTTAAATAGAATTCGTGCCTCATATTGAATTTACCGAGCATCATAATTCCTCCAGGTGGTAAAGATACCTCGAGACAAGTTCTGGGCCTAGAAGCCACAGGACATAAATCTGCAAAGAAGTAAAAAGCTAACCTTTTCAAACAATATGGCTTCTCTCTCACTTAACAACTTTACATTTCCCTGTATGGCCCCGGAAGATGACTGGTTAGCCAGAGATGGGTAAGATTCCTCAAGAGAGGAACCACCTAAAACAGGCACAGTTGCAGGGGGGCCATCAGGTGAGAAACTGGGGATCAACAGAGGTGAGGCTCAGAACCTCACCCCCGTTTTGAGAGAAATCTTCTGCATCCGTGGATGTTTTGCTGCCGTTGTCTAGCTTGGATTAATACTTAGTCCATAGGCACACACCTGATCATCGACATTTGCCCTCTTACAGTACTAAACTATGTTTTCTACCTTTATCTTGCATCTACCTACCACTTCAGCATTTTATTAAAAATAAAAATAATAATAATAAAGGGAGAAATGTGGGATCCACATATAAATCAAGTATAAAAATCAAACGAATATTCATATTTGACCTGTTTATAGTTCATAATGCGTGATCAAAACCTAAAGTTTCTGATGAATGCCCTTGTACTGTTCACCATGTAAGAATTTATTCACTATGCAAGAATTCGTTCACCATGTAAGAACTTGTTCGTTATGCTTCAGAAGACTGGAGACTGACGAGAATTAGGCTTGAGATGGATTAATGATTGTGCATTGAGCATTGACCCACCTATACAGAATTTTATTGTTGTTAACAACCATTTGTTCGATAAATATGAGATGCCCTCTCAAAAAAAAAAAAGAAAAAAAATTATCCTCATTGTCATTATCTTCATCATTGTTACCTATGTGCTGATGTTATTATGGGCAAATCAGAAAGGTGCTAGCCCTTCAGGAGATTCATCAGAGCAATATGTATGAGGAGCTATGAAGTTACATATACCCTTTAATCTGTTTTTCCCATTTATAGGAAGAAATTTAAAGGGAAAAAACGTCCTTGATTAAAGATGTTTATAGCAATGCTAATTATGGCGTATCAAAATTTGGAACAACCTAATGCCTAGAAATGGGGGAGAGGTTGAGTAAACAAAGTATAGTAATACCAGATATTAAATGCAAAAGGAATACAAAAAAATCGTAGTTTTGCTATGTGTCAGCAGGAGCCAGTTCAAAAATACAATGGAAAAATATCCCATTCAAAATAACCATAACTATAAAATATCTAGACATAAAATTAATAGAAGTACTCAAACTCATTTTTAAAAACTATGTTTTAATGAGAGACATATATGGATCTTCGTAAATGGAGAGTCATAGCTTGATAAGAAGCCTTACTATTTTTTAAAGGCAATTCTTCTCATATTGATCTGTAAATTAAATGCAATTTTTATCAATATCTCAATGGAATTTTTAAAATTTGAAAGTTGATTCTCTAGTTTATCTGGAAAGCAAATGTTTGAAAACAGCCAAGAAAGTTTTGAAAAACAACTGTAACAAAATGACACATGAACTTGAAAAGAACTATAAAACTATGTAGGAAATTGGGTAGTGTGGTACTGATGAGAAAAACACAGCTAGATTGGTGGAGTGGGACAGAGTCCATAAAATAGCCCAGGTTCCTACTTAGGGGATTTCACACATGCTCAAGGTGGCATTTCAAATCAGTGGGGAAAGATAGATTATTCAGTATAAACAGCACAAGGATAACTGGCTCAGTAACCTATAAATTACAGGTGGTTTAGAGACCTAAATGTAAAAAACCTAAACAATAAAACTACTTGTAAAAATAAATAAAAATATCTTTTACGAACTTTGAGTCAGAAAGAACTTCTTAGCCTGATAAAAAACCTAGGAAGGGCACCTAGGAGTCTTTGGCTATGCTTTGCTTTGATTCTGGGCATTGCTCCCAGCTCAGATAAGCAGGTTTTCCACTTGGAGTTTTGGTAGGTTTTTGAAATGTATTCCTAGTTCCTAGTGTTTCTAATTTTAAATAAATTTAAATGAAATAAAAAGTTGTACTCTCCCCCAAACACCAACATAATTTCCATATAGCAAGAGAAACCATCAAGTTAAAAGTTGAGTGACACACAGAGAAAATATTTACAACACAGGCAACAAAGGATTATTATTCACAATATAATAAGGAGTTTTTTTTTTAATAAGAAAAAGAAAATAACCCCCCCCCCAAAAAAACAGGCCAACAATATAAATAGGTCATTCAGTGAGAAATACAGATTACCAATAATACAGATTACAAACAAATAAGCATATGTTCAACCTCATTAGTAATCAGAGAAATGCAAATTGGTGGCTTCTTTTGCCTATCAGCAGGAATACTGAAGAGGGTTAGGCAGTGTTAAGTCAGCAGGAACGAAAGCAGGCAATAAGAGGATGCATTGTCTGTAGAGAATTTAAAAAATAATAATAAAACATATCATCATGCTCCAGAAATTCTAAATATGTCAGTGTTAAAATATTCTTATCTATAGGGGTGGGCTGCTCCCACTGCCCCCACCTCAGCAGGCCCTTGCTTTTATCAGAATAGCTGAAATGTTGAAGATTGATCATAATCCATGTTAGTGTATGCCCATACACTGTTGGTAGAAGCATACAGTTTTTTTGCATGGCAAACTGGAAGGACTTATCAACGTTTTAAATGTGTGTTTCCTTTGACCTACCACTGCACTTATTGAGATCTAGCATATTGAAATATCCCTAAATATGCCCAAAGATATAGGTACAAAAAATTTCACATAAACTTTGTAAAGGGCACAATTTGGGGCACAACCTAAATATCAACCACTAGGGAAGTAGATAAATTATGGTACATGCAGAATTCCTTGGAATGGTTGGGAGATTGGACTAGATAACTCCTCAGATCTCTCCTGACTCTTCTGATTTTATGGCCTTCGATTTTAGGCTTTTGAAGACAATTCCAAGAAAGATATTTTGAAAATAATTAAAGCAACGATACCATTAATGGGATAACCATGCAGTCCCTTAAGATAATCATTTAGAAGAGAAAATTAATTTTCTGAAACTCCTTATTGTGAAGTAATTTAGATTAGGGGAGTTGTGACTAGCAGAGAATTCCCATTTCCCTTTATCCCATTTTCCCACTGTCAAGATTTTACATAACCATAGTATAGTTGTCAATACGAAGAAATTAACATTGGTATAACACTACTAAATCACAGATTTCATTCAGATTTCGCTGATATTAGTTTTTCTGCTAATGTCCTTTTTCTGTTCTAAGGTCCAATCTTGGATACCACATTGCACTGAACTGTCGCGTCTCCTTTGCATCTTCCAATCTCTGATAGATTCTCGGTCTTTCCTTGTTTTTCAGGACATTGACACTTTTGAAGAGTACTGGTTAGAATTTTGTGAAATGTCAGAATGGTGAGTTGTTTAATGGGTATAGAGTTTCAGATCTGCAAGATTAAGAGAACTCTAGATACGCATGGTAGTGGTGGTTGCACAACAATGTGAATATACTCAATACTACTGAACTGTACACTTAAATATGGTTAAGATGGTAAATATTATGTACGTTTTAACACAATTGAAAAAATAATGATGGCAATTAAAACACTTCAAATAAAAGAACATTTGCCCCTTCTGTCTCATTTATTTGGAAGTTGATTTTTGACTTTATTCTTTTAGATAAAATGCTAGAGGTGCTACAATTAAAATTATATAATGCATTTACTACTGGCAATAAAGTAAAGTACTGGCACTGGATGGAGGAACTCAGAAATCCACATACTTGGACAGGTTAACTCATGTATTTTGGAGTGAGTAGAGGCTTTGGCTTGTTAGAATGGGGAAATCAGAAACTCTTCATCAGAAAGACTTTAAACCTGTCTGTATTGTGAATTATATACTTGTAAGCCATTGTGATTCTTACAATCTGTCAGACATTCTAATATGTGCTGGGAAACCTCACTGGTGATCCACTATTGAGTAGTGACTAATAAAGATACAAGTTTAATTCTAATTCTCCTTACTAGCTTTTGTGAGTTTAGGCATATTGCATAACCTCTTTTGTTTTGTCATCTGTAGAGTAGAGTATTGCCAGGATTCAATTACATGCAGTAAACAAAACAACTAGTACAGCTCCTGGCATAGAACTGCTAATCAAGAAATAATTACATTTAATATTGCAGACTACTTTTAGGGCTCTTGTGACCTGCACATCATAACATCATTCTTTTATTATTAAACACTATTTCTGAGTCAAATACAACTAAAACTGTGAACTCTATGAGTAAAGATAATGTCTTTTCACTTTTGCACCCTAGTCATCAAGTATAATCCCTTACATACAGCAAGTTCTCAATAAACATCTGCTAAATGAATGGATGAACCAACACTTAATTCAGCATCTTGTTGCATTGTTAACTCCTAGAGTATCATCTGCCAATGTTACCTCATCCTTAGTGTAGTTTGGTTTGGTTTAAGTTACTTTAGAATTCCAAATCTTTCCTAATTGATGACTATATGGGGAGGAGACATACACATTTTCTGGCCATTTGTATGCCAATTCAATTAAATAAACACTTATAGGGACATTTGTGTATATATAAATATAATAATGAGGCAGGATGATAAATTCAAAGAGCACAAATAAAAGAGTGACTAATTATCAGTGGAGGGTGGAAAAGGTCATCCATCTACTGACCATCCAATTCAACCCAATTCATCCCAGACATTAAGTTGGGGCTCCAGCCCTTACCTATGACAGTTGTCTGTCTGGGGCTTGGTCCTCTACACACTTACTATCTGTTACAGGTATCAGGAGAGGACAGCTGAAGCCGATTGAGGATTCAAGGATTCTGGCTCTCAACACTGGGTCTTTCATCTCTAACTAATAAATATCTCTGTCAAATACCTCCTAGTTTAGGGCCTGATCCAATATACACACTCAGAATTCCTCAAGCTGCAGTCTAAATTCAGTCTCACTTATTATCTTTAAGTCTTTATAAATTAAGTAGAATATATCCATTTACATGAGAAAACTATGGCTCAGAAAAGTGAAATGGTTTGTCTAGCTTGTAAGTGTTAGAGCCAGGATTAAATCCAGAATGTGTGAGCACAGGTTCAGTGAAGATACTGTCTTTTATTTAGAAGTGAAATAACATTAAATATCACGTTTCCTGTAAATCTAGTTTATGCTTAATTTGGAATTATAACCTTGCATTGAATAATCAAACTAGTAAATAATTCAAAACGATTAACATTAGAAGGCTATATAAGATACTTTTACTTTAATTTTGCAATAATATTCATGCACTACAACCTGTTGAAACAACAAAGCCAAAAGAACTAGTGATCTAATTCTAGTTACTGCAGGTAATCAGACTCTATGCTCCATTGGCAACAGAGCTAATTATAGCAAAGAAATCAAAGTCACCTTCTCAGGGACACAGACACTGAGGTGAAGAAAATATGTATTGTTTGGGCACTGGTACTTCTGTGCTTCATTAAAGTGGAACCAAATGTAAAATGGCTTTTACTGACGGTACCTCCAGTTCAACTATTTTTAATTTTCTAATTTCTGAAGTGAAGAAGGCTGAGGTTAGCACACTGAAGCATTATCTTAATTGTTTTTAAAAACATTTGAGAAACAGTGCTATTTTCAGATTCTGTTAATTTAATAACAGTAGACAAATCACAGTAAGCAGGTCAAGAACCTGAGAAGCCTGAACGACAAAATTAAAACATTAAGCACATCACTCTTATTTAACAGCTTGCATATGGATGCCAAGTGTGGTGAGTGTTTATGGTTCACTGGACTGTGTTGTATGCCAGACACTTAAAAGAACATTCCAGAGAGATGGTCTGACTTGCTGGAAGTTTAAAGGCTCAAGCTCTACATTTCATCCTGGTTTTTTTATTTTTAAGTTTTTATGAAATATTTAGACATCTTACAAGATCAGTCCAGTTTGTATAAGTTGATGACACGTTTTTTAAAAAAATGAAAATAGGAAAAGAAAAAAGGAGAAGCAAAGAAAAAAGCAGTGCCCTGGATTAAAAGGGACTTAAAACACTAAACACCAAATACATTAAGCATATCTTTAGATTCTGATTTGAACAAACCAACAATAAAGGAATTTTTGAGACACCAAGGACATTTGGTTATGGAATTGGCATTAGATATTAGCAATAATTGTCAGTTTTATGAATATGGCTTTGCAGTATGAAGAAAATGTTCTTAGAGATGGATCCTTAATATATGAAGGTAAAAATAACACGTTTGGGATTTGCTTTTAAATATTTTAGTGAATGAAGAAATAAAAAGTAACAGATAAAGTCAATGTCAGCAAACTTAACAATCACTGAGTAGTTAAGGCAAGGCAATTTGCAAGGTAACAGGAATTTACCATAGTCTTCTGCACTTACGGAGTTTACATTTTTCAAAATTTAAAGTTTTTACAAAATATCCACAATATTTCAATTGGGGGTGGGGTTATGGTTATAAGTGGATCTTCCATGATGGTCATCACGAACTGTATAAACAATCTTTTACAGATGAAGTTAGTTTAAGGCTGTTTCATTTGCCATTGTGTTTTTAAGAAACTCTGACAAGAGGGAAACATATGGAAGTCACTAAAAACTTCCATTTACCAAAGTTGCCCTGAATGATGTCCTGCTTCCACTCTTTTCTCTAGTCATTCTTCACCTACTTGCTAGAGGTATATTTAAATCCATTAACCCAGTCATCTATTCTCTGCCTGAACCTTTCAATGGATTCCTATTCCTGGAATAAAATGTAACCTCTAAGATGGCTCATACAGCCCTATGTGAACTAGCGAACTAGCGCCTACACCCCTCCCCACTGCCTCTCAGACCCTTGCTGGCTTCTTTCAGCACTTCAGTAGCTGAGATCAGTCTGGTCCACAGCCTCTCCAGAGCTGAATATTCCTCTTAGAACATCATCTCCCATCACATCTTCACACTACATTACCCCTTTTACTATTTTCTCCCTTAGAGAAACTGTTCTTTTCACTTTTGGCAATTGTAACAATTTATTTGGGTTTGTTTCATGCCTACTTTCCCCACTTTTCCTCATGTGTATTCTGTTTACCACTGTGCAACCAACAATATTCCATTTTCATTGAATCAGTTAAGAAACATTTCTCCCCAAGCTTACAGTGCCCTATCGTATGAATATTGAAACTTAGTTCTGAAATATTGGAAAGAGGGATTTTGGTGAATATGATCCAAAAAGTTGGCTTAAACTTTGGAGGAATTAGGGTTGAGAGACCACGGGACATTTGAGAGGAGAAAAACAGAGTGTAGCAAATGATAATTAGGCTGCAGAACAAAAAAACTTACAAAAGGGAGATGTGAACGCCACTGAGTCCTGGTGTGTTTGAATTTGTGAACTTCCGTTTATTTCCCTGTGATGCCTTTTCCGCTCGGTCAGGGCCCTGACTTCCATCCTAGCTCTCTGCTGCACAGCGACGCACAGCCCCAACTAACAGGATGGGATCAGGGGATGGGATCCAGACAGCTGGCTGGGATCTCTCACTCCCATGCCAGGGAGTGGAAGTTGGCAGCATATGCGCAAAAAATGTAAAATCACAGGAAGATTTTAACACACTTCTCTAAAAAACAAGAGCTCGCACATACAAAATTTGAACAAGACAGTTAACAAATTTGAGCCAGCAGATTTCTATGTAACTGTACACCACGTGGTTGTTTTTAAAAGTTAACACTACACAGTGCTTATATGCCAGGCTCTGTTCTAAGTGGTTTACAGCTATTGGCTCATTAGAGAATTAAGGAGTACATGTTCTTTCTCAAGTTACAAGGAATATTTGGGAAAGTGATTATGTATTGGGTCACAAAGTAAGTCTCAACAAATAATAAAAATTCAATATCTATAGATCTAATCATATGTAGTAAAAGGACAAAAACATGTAAGACAGCAGGTTCCCTGACAAAGGCAAGGAGAGGCAGGGAAGGAGGGACAGGGACAGATGAAGGGGAAACAACTTAGCTCTACCTAGAATATTTTATTTGAGAGAAAGAAAGGAAGAAAAGTGGGAAGCAAGGAAGATTGGAAGGGGGGACAAGAGGAAATTTCTCTTAAACTGCCCAGAAAAAATAATCTGCATATGTAATACAGAAAGATAAAGATAAGCAAATGTGGTAAAATATTAGAAGGGTATATGGGAATTCTTTGTATTTTTTCTGTAGGTCTGAAATTAAGTTACAATTTTTAAAAAGTTATAACAATTACGGCCATCTCAATTTATGAGTAAATGAATGTCTGGTTCTTTACATTTTAGGTATTCTGTAATTTAAAGAAAAAAAAGTTTAAATCAAGCACAGTATATCATTTATAAGAGGAACACTTTGTCAGAAGAGAGGAGGCTTCATTCACCCACAGAAGACTGCCTTTGAGGAAACTGAAGCAAGCAGGGGGCTCTGCAAGCTGTGGGGCCGAGGGCTGAGCCCCATTCTCCCTGGAGCCTCTGGCCTTGTGCAGGGAATGACCTGCCCAATTCTTCAGCCCTGACTCTGCATCTTATCTCTCTGCATTTGGCAGTTTTTCTCTAAGACAGGATAGATTAATAGACATTAAAACCCACGAAAATTATTTACCCATTATTCCATTCCTGTGTATGTATGCCAATGTTGTTCAGTAGTTTATATCACTGAAACAAAGCACTGCACTGGATATAGTAAAGTATAAAAACAAATTCAAGACACAGCCAAATGCTCGCTCCAAAGTCACAGTCTCACAGAGAAAAGTAAGACATGAAGGCCTATGTGAGCCACTGACCACTTTTATTTTTGCTGTCTCATTTCATTTTCGTACCAACTCTGTGAAGCAGATGTCATTATTCCCATTTTGTACATGAAGCCCAGAGAAGTTACTAACTAGCCCCAAATTATACAACTACTAAGTGACAAAGCCATGAGTTTACCTCAGATATGTCTGACTCCAAAAGTCCATTCTCCTCCCACATCATTGTGTTTCTAAGTCACAAAACATAAATACTGTAAAATTTCACTTACTCAACACTTCTGGGGATGAGTCATGCTGGATAGATGAATAAGTGAAAGCCCACCCTCTAGGAAACTGTTCAAAATCTTCTAAGGTTAGAGAAGAGCAAATTCCAGAAGCCTCTGAGAAAGAGGCTTTTCTTCCCTGCATTTATTTTCCCTCTTCTGGCATTGGCAGCCCAGCATACCTGGTGTCTAATCTACATGTTCTCCCTGAAAGCTCCAGCATGAGACGGCCAAACATTCCTTTTTCTTTTTTTCTCATTCAAAGCGTAAGTTAGACAGACTGGTAATTCAGAAATAATTTTAGTAAATAGTAAGGAATAAAAAACAGGAAATATTTACAGAAAATACAACTAGAAGAAAAATGGTTGGGTTTCCTGATAACAGATAGGGAACCCACTCAGTCCTGAATGTTATTAATTCCTGCCCTTGGTTCCTAAAGGGTGGTATGACTCCATAGGCCCAGTTCTCATCTCATCCCTCAGCATTACTATTTCCTGGCCAGGCAGCTTTCAGTATTTACCTTGCCCTTAGTCCTAGAAATGGATCTGATGAGTCATTCTACTCTTTCCATATGGAACCTTCCCAAATTTTAGATTCCTCATCTTATAAAAAGGAAATGATAAAAACATCTAACTCACAGAGATCAAACAGAGAGCTCAGGTAGGGATGTGCCACATAGTAAACTCACGAGTTCTTTTTCTCCTCTCCCATTTCTGCACATAATGACAATGATTAAAGCTAATGGGTGAGCACTCAGTATGTCACAGGTACTTTAAATGCATTAACTAATTTAATCCTCACCACAATTTTATGAAGTAGGTACAATGACCACCTTCATTTTATGAAGACACTGAGGTACCAAGAGGGCGAACAAGTTTCCCAAGTTCAAAAGCCAGGACTCGATCTAGCCCATTGGGCTCTGGAACCAGAGCTTCTAACCACCACGCTACACCACATACACAGCAGACGCTACTGTGCTTAAAGTTCAGACCTACACAGCTCCCCCAACTCAGTCTTCCTTTCTGGTCTGTCCCCAGCCCCAGCCAGGGACTGTAAGTTGACACTAGAGCAAGAAGAGATAGAACTGAGGGAACGTAAAGAGACTACAATGTAGCCAATCATATACAGTGACAATAATAGGTGTAGCTACTTTATAATCTTCACTTTTGTTTGAATTCTTAAGAGCACTCATTTAATACTTCTAAGCTCAATAAAAAACATATATAGATTCATTCTGGGGAAAAAGATTACCAAGCAGAAGTAACTTTGGCCAAGGAAGAAGGGATTGCATGTAGGTTGGAGTATTTCTTTTTTAAAGTCAGTTAAAATGCATTAAAGCAATAACTATCAGTAAATAGTGAATATTTTCCCATATGGCTAGGGCAGTAATTAGGAACAAGTGTTAAGAGCAGACGTGAGCTGAATGCCAGCAACACTACTAGCTGTTTGAACTTCTGTGTTTCTTGTCTATAAACAGGAATAATGATACCTATCATCTAGGGATATTGTTAGGCTTAAGTAAAGACAACGTAATTAAGGTACCTGGTATGGTGCCAGATTCATCACAGGTACTCAGTAAGGTATTTTTCTTTTTACAACATCACTGTAATGGCTTTAGTGTATCCTGTCTCACAGATATGCCCCAATTCATTTAACTAGTCCTATACTGTTAAACATTTGGATCATCTTCAGCATTATCAGTAATCTAAACATTAATAAAATTTCCTATACATACCTGGTTATTTCTTCAGGGTTGACTTCTGCAAGTGATTTTGGTGGATCAAACAATATCAACATTGTAAACTGGCGACAAACATTATCAAATTATCAACCATATGTACATTACGAAGTTAATCTCTATACTGAAGGTATTTAGCCAACTCCTGCCAATAATAGACATAATTTTAAAGAAACATGCTAATTTTACCAGCCCCTAAAGAACCCCATGTTGTTATTTAACTTCTAGATATTTCTATTTCTTTTGTTATATTATAAAGACTATAGACTCCTTAAAGTATGAGGTTAGCAGAAAAATACAAAAGTGATTGAATAGGTAAAAATTTTAATGTAGCATATTACAGACATGGCATTTCAAGTCATTTATGAAGGAATTAATTTTCCTAATGGTTTTCAAAGTACTCTCTGGAACCTCCCCTATGTGGAGAGTAGAGATGGGGTAGGAGATCTTGGCAGGTTGGAATGACTCTCATCCTTCCCCATTTCAGCCACATTTATCTGTTTACATAATGAACTTATTGGTAAGTGAATTTGAAGGGTTCTGGACCTGAAAACAAAACCAAAAACATATTTTATGCAAAGTTTCAGGACAACTGGTATTTTGCAATATAAAGTAAATATATAAATGAAATAAGTTGAATATCTTCCTCCATCAGATGCAAAAACCCGTCTGGATTAAACATTAAATGGAGAAAAAACCCTCCAGAAACTACTTGAAAATATGGACAAACATTAACTCCTTTTCAAGCACACTGATAAAAGTAGAGGCCATAATAAGAGGGGCTATTTGTTTGTGTTGGTATTTTCTAAAATGTGTGCCTCTGACAGATTCAAAATGTTTTTGCAGCCAAAAAGTGTGAGCATGCTACATATCAATAACAGTGCCAAGGGGTAACTTAGAGCACTAATACCTCCACTGATTCTCAGCATTCCCAGCTCATCCCAAAGTATACACTCCAAATAAAACAATGTGCAAATCAAACAAATGTTAACTGAGGACATATCCTAGTACCTTGTGTTGCAAGCAAACCCTTCACACTAAGCCCTTCCTCTGCCTAGACATTCTGGAACTATCACTGCTGCTCTCTGGAAAGTCACATGTCATCAGCATAAAAAGGCTTTGAGAAGTCCTACAGTGGAAAAAGAGGAAAACCTAGTTTACTCATTTCCTAAACTTATTTGACTACAGAACCCTTCCCTCAACATGATTAATATCCACAGAATTCGTAGAGCACACCTTAGCAAATGCCAGGCTATATGAAAGTCAACATTCTAATGGAAAAATGCTGGGTCAAAGGTGCCCTTGTGAAAGATACATTGTTCATTGATTGCTGTTTTACCAATGCTCAATGCATGCATCAATTGTGATGTGCTGACACCTAGTGCCAATGATTTGACTCAGTACACAAACATAATTTCCTAGAACATATTGCTGCCCACCTAAACAAAAACCCACTTGCAGACTGCCTTGGATTTTATTTCTTGTACCTCACCATTATGATGTATTTTTATCTTGGAATACTATGGTTTATGTAATGATCCACAGGACTAAAAAAGTATTCTGTTTGTACTTTTGCTCTTCTCTCACCTATTCAGATATGTCTTATAAAACTATACATAAGAAAAATGTGTCAAGTACTACTTGTTCCAACTTTTTAAGTCATCCTCATGAAAAGAATTTAATTAGACTGTGTTTAGGGGATAGAGCTAGAAGGTTCAGAATGAGAGGTCAGGCCATTCTACAAAAACTCAAAAGACTGTTACTGGAATGAAGATACAACAACTATTTCTTGTAGCAAACTCTTTCACTTATTCTTTTACCCAAAAGCACCCTTCTGGTCCTAAGTAAAGGGAAAAAAGAAAAAGGAAGAGGCAAAGGAAACACAACTGCAATGATAAGGATTCTCCTGTTACAAGGTGGGTGGTTACTTGGTCCAGCCGTTTAAAACAATGTTAATTTGAACTCTAAAATGTTAGGTTTCTGAGCATGAAGATTCAACTTTTGATATATATTAAATGTGTCTCTGTTCACTTTAATAATGCAATGCAAATGGTACCTGCTTGCATAAATACATTGTATTAATAACTTCAGGGTTTTGGCTGTTAGTCTAAGATTATCAGATCTCATATTTTAATAAAAATTCTGGGGCAACAAACTCCTCAAATGCCAATTTTAATTTAGTATCACTTGGCAACTCTGTAAAGCAGTTTTACTTGCCATAATATAGGGTTATAAGTATTCTTGAGTATTTGAAATGTGAATTAAATAGCATGTAATCTAATACTGCTGGGAACCAAGAAACAATTCCTCACTGTGTATTCACTAGGTTACTTACAGCTACTAAATTGTCAGGAATATAAATGCCTGCACGGGTATGTTTTGTGCAATTTCTACTTCTAACTGAAATGTGGCATTGACAGCTGGTTCTTTTGAGTTTCGTATATCTAGGCTTCTGTGACATGTGATGACTCTCTCACAAAATTACCATGAAATCTTTATCCATGCATCTTCTCATGATGTTGTTCAGCTTCCATGTGATATAAACAAAATCCTAAGCTTAACATGAACTCAGGCACTCAAAACTTCCTGTTTTAAGGTACTCACTTGGAGAATCATACTACTACTTTGTCTCAGATTACATCAAAATGACAACACAAAAAATTTTTACATCTTGTAGAGAATCTGTACATTTTATATGAACATATGCTTGGATCTCAGCCTGAGGAACTCTGCCAGGGACGACTGCCATTCATTCATTGAGCAGTATTTATTGAGGTTACTGTGTGCCTGGCACAGGAAATCCAACAATCGACAAACTGCCTGCCCTTATAACAGCCTTACAGTCTAATGGGGAAGGAGGACAATAGAAAAGTAATTTTTAATTTCAGATAGTGATTAGTGCTGCAAAGAAGTGAGCAGGATTAGCGGATGGAGAGTGAAAAGGACAGAGGTGCTGTTTTAGAGAGGTTGCCAGGAATGGCATCTTGTTGGAGCTGTTATTTTGAGCAGATACCTAAATGAATATTATTTGGTAAAGAGTCTTCCAGGCAGAAGAGCAAGGCAAAGGCCTGGAGACGGGAACGTACATGGAGTGTTTGAGGCCTAGTAAGGAGACCAGTGTAGCTGAAGCACAAGTCAGGCAAATAGAGTCAGCGAAGTAGCCAGGGGCCAGGTCACACCATGTCCTATAATACTGTAGTGATGACTTTGGTGGTTCTTAGGGGGGAAATGGGGTTGCAGAAAGCATGTTTTAGAAAAACTAGATGTGGAACTCCTGTCTCTGGAACTCAACTTCTTTTTCTTTTTACTTTTGAAATCAACTTTATTGAGGTATAACTTACATACATCAAAAGCACCCATTTAAAAGTACAGTTGGATGAGTTTTGGCAAATGTATAAAGCCATGTCACCATCACCATAATCAAGATAAAGAATATTTCCATCATCTGAAAAGCTCCCTTGTTCCTTTTTGTAATTAGTTCCTATCTCCTGACCCCCTACCAGAGCCAGAAACTAACTGAAATTTGGGGACTCATAATTTTTAATGTGGACTTTTGAGGACCTAGATCTGGGCTGTCCAATACAGTAGCCATCAGCTACATGTGGCTAAATAAGTTTAATTAAAATTATATAAAGTTAACTATTCAGTTTCTTAGTTGCACTAGCCACATTTCAAGAATTCCTCCTCTATTATTAAGCTTAAAGGATAGCCTCTTTTTTTAAGAGAAATGGTGATTTCCCTTATAATGCATAAGGCATAATTTTAAGTAAAAGCAAACCTCAAAATCATAGTCTTACTAAATCTATGGTTGTTGCTTTTTTTCTGGAAGGGGGTATTCTGAAGCAAATATGCTGGAATATTAATGTTTGTTAAACCTAGTAATGTATCCATGAGTATTTTTTCTATTATTTTCTGTATACTTTTGAATGTCTGAGACATTTTAAAAGAAAAAAGTAGGCTTTTCTTTTAAATTTTAGATAAGAATACTTAATGTTATCAAGATTGTTCACTATGTGATTAAGCAATATAAGTTAACAGTATGTACAGTGGTACAGCATAAAGGTCAGCATAGCATGAATTGGTATAACTTAATGGTTAAGTACATAGGCTCTGGAGTCAGATTATTTGGGTTTTAATTCTAATTATGCAGTTACTAGCAACAAGACACTGAGCAAATTATTTAACCTCGCTATGCCTCAGTTTCCTCATCAATAATATAGGAATGATAATAATAGTACCTGGGTCATAAGAATATAAGGATTAAATAAACATATGTAAAGACCCTGATGCACAGTAGATGCTCAGTAAGTCTTAATAGCTATGACGATGATGATATAATTTTTATTTTTTAAAAAAATTACAAATTTTTTTAGGAAACAGAAAACTTGGAGCAGTCCATCAAAAATGTTAACCATTATAACTGCTAATTGACAAGACTAATTTCAATTTTCTTACTTATTTTCTAAACATTCTACATCAAGTAATTCCTTTGGACTCAAAAAACTCAAAACAACAGTAATACAGAAAAAAGTTTGCCTTTAGGCCTTCACCAAAAGAGCCTACAGTCTAGTAAGCAGTGATTTTCAAAGTGTGATCTTTGGACAGGCAGCACCAGCACTATCAGAGAACTCGCTAAAAATGCAACCAGTTTGTAATCACTTCTTGGTAAATTCTTTCTCAAAACACTAGGCAGCTGCGATGTAGCAGAGAGTTGAGTGCTGAACATGGAAGAAAACCTTGATTTGAAGCCCAGCTCTACTACTTGCTAGCTGGGTGGTTATCATGATGAAGATAATGTTAAATCTTTTCATCTTTATAATAAGGACAATACTACGTATCTCACAGGATTGTTTTAAAGATCAGTATACTTTAAAACACCTGCCCTATAATAAGCCCTCAATACATTTTTGTAACGTGTGATATTTTTCTGTACTGTTTTGGATTGATTGATTATATGCTTTATTCAACTTGCATTATGTACAGTTTGGTTTAGCCTATTTCTTCTATTAGAGTCTGAGTTCCTTCAGCACAGGGATGGCCCTCTGCATCCCTTTAATTTGCTACAATACCCACTTCAGTAATCAAGTCTCTCCCACATCCACTCCAACCTTCACCAAAAGCTTGTGACTCGAAGTCTGACTGTCTGGGGTAGGGATCTAGAGTAACATAGTCAACTTTTAGTACAGATGTACATTTCACATGAGAAAGTATGTGGCTGACATGTAACATTCCCCAAGTTATGCTTCTCTTCCTTTTCCAATATAAGTGGATGCCTCTCATTTTTATATTTACCAGGTTTGTTTGTTAAAAGCAATACAGGAAGTTTAGTAGTGTTGTACTAGAAATTGTGAAAAACATGAGTTTCAGTTTTAACTGAATTTTGGCATTTCCAGATACAAGTGATACTGGGGTGATGGTTGTAGAAGAGTTTTACAGAGAGCAGATAACATTAGGTACCCAGCTCATTTTTTCCTATCTGGAATACTGAGACAAGCACGAGACTTATTACGTATTCCACAAAGATCTTGTGAAAGTTAATAGGCAATTAGGATCATGGAATTTGGCAGGAAGAAAAAAGAAGCATGTGTATCTCACATAAGCAGGGCAGAGGCTTTCTGCACTCCTATGGCCTTAGAAGAAACAGTATGTCATATTTTGTCTCAGGAAAATATTATTTTTCTTACTTTATAGGTACCCATGCCATTTAAATGCCTGTCATTAATAAATTTACATACTGAACTTGGCATGGTTAATATAACTGCCTTTATTTACATTAACTTTCTTATCTTCTGAACTTTGCATTTACAGACTCATTAAATACCTGTCAAGTTAGATGATCAAATTTAATTTTAGAATGGCTTGAAAACTTGTCTCGTTTCCCTCCTCCCATTAACTATGTTTTACTCCAGCATATTCTATTTTTTTCCCTTAAAAGTATAATCCTTAAAGCTAGGAGAACTATCATAACAAATGGGTTTAATATCACATTTAGTTTGGGAAGAATGTTTCTAACTAACCAAGGCTCCATGGGGAAATGAACACTGGATCAGTCAGGTGGATGGTGCTTGGCAAGCCAGTGAAAGGCTGTCCATGTCTTCAGTAGGGTGGGAAATGGTTATTTTGTTAAGGTACCACTCAGAATGGCATATTCAGATGCAATTACAAAAATTTGACTGTTCATATATATCATCAATAAAATTTGGCTTGATGATGTTAAGACATAAAAATATATGGCAGTGTTAGAATTTCACACTACTGTCAACTTTGGTATGCTCTGAGGCTATCATAATTCAATTCTTTGGATTCTGTATGAGAAAAATAAAATTTTACTGCAGGTGTAACTTCTCAGTCACAGTAGAAAATAATGTCCACTTACAGGGTATATCAAATTCCTCAATTTATCAACCCTCAATTAAAAATCAGTTTCAAGACCACTTGTATAATTACCACAAAATTATTGTCAGAATAAAAATAAATAACCTTCCCTGCTTGACTTAATTCTTTAAGAAAAGCTGCACTGAAAATTATCCCTTTCAAGATAAGTAACATTACCTATCTTGTATGAAAGTCATGTTATTTTTGCATAGGCCAGGTAGAAAAAGAAAATTAGAATTAGGAAAGTAACATCTGAAGTGTTTCTCTTTCAAACATATTTCTTTTGAAGAAAATCATAGACAATAGTAAGTCAGTACTAATACCCCTTAAGCGTGTCTGACAGATGGTTTACTTCAAAATATTAAATTCTACTTGCTTAAAACCTAATAAGGTAGACAGTCCTAGATAGCTACAAAGACTCAAATGACTGCATGGACTACACTGATAAATCCATTTTGTGCCAAATGTTTTTAGAAATTTTGAGGCAGTTCAGTTATCTAAGGTCTTAGAAAGTAAGAATTTCCAGAATGAAAACGTAAAAGCACTGCCTATACAATAATTAAAATAATACTAGCTTTCAATTAACATATAATGTGTTCTGTAATGAAGAGGCAAGTAAAAAAGCTCTGTTGCCTCCTAAGGGGTAAACATCTTTAGGAGCCCTTGAAGTCAATCTACTAAGAGCAGACCCTGAGGCCTAACAAAAGGTCTGAGCTAACAGCTCTTTTTTTCTTTTGTAGTAGTGTAAAAAACACTCCCTGCCTCTGAGATACACGGGTGATTTGACTTTGGGCAAGTCACTTAATTCCTTCTAGTCTGTTTCCATAAATGGGAGTCAACAATAACCGGCAAAGATATTACAGAACTGGTGTGAGGATGAGATGATATATGTGAACGTTCCTATATAAAGTACAAATCAATTCACCATAAACTAGTTATATTTTACACAATACTGGCCTAACCTTTCCTGCCTCTGTCTGTCTATAAAATGAGTACAGATGTAGGTCTGAATGCCTAACTTACTAACTAGGTGAACTTGAGCAAATCATTTCCTTTCCGAACGCGTTTCCTAACAAGGTTATTATTAAGATCATATGATACAGTGTATGTAAATGCTGTGGCAGATATGTATTCTTAATAAATGATAGTTGTTATTACTCTGAGGGGAGGATTGTAGGCAGCAAACAATATTATATCCAGCTAACGCCTTTGTATATGTATATAAAACTCTATACACATCCAAGATAGTTACTTGTACTTACACTGCAAAGGCGTACAGGAAATGAGGAAACAAATGGCGCCTCAGTGACCCCTAGTAGAGACAATAAAAAGGCAGAAAAGGGCATTCAGGCGCCTCAGTGACTTGGAATAGCCAAGTAGAGATGAGAATAGGTAAATGTGGCGGGAAAAAAGACCTTAAGAAACACTCCGAGAATCAATTCATTATTTTCCCCCTTTTTCTTATGATCTCCAGCCTAGAGTAGGCCATTCCATTCAACTTCCCAGCCCGCCATATCGCAGACATTTTTTTTACTGTACCTGCTTCACTGAGAGACTTTCATTTCCCTCCCCTTGTAGGAGTCGTGAACTTCAAACCCTCAGCTCCCGAAACCTATCCCCTTCAACTCTGTTTTTACCAGGCTTCCCTGCACCCTTCCCTCCGCCAAAGGGGGAAGTGAAGCCGAACGTACCGCAGGGCATCATAGGAAATGTGGTCTCTCATACTCTTTTGCTTGGGCCCCAGACTGGGGAAGAAGACAAAGGGGACACAATGGAAACTACAACTCCCGGCAGGTAACAGGAGGGACTGTCTTTCTTTCTGCCCCACCTTCCTATCGCCTTCCTCTTCCTCCTCTTTGCGGGAGTTTAGCCGCTTAGCCTCACGGTACTTGTAGTTCCGTTTGGACCAAAGCCTCTAGGACTCGGGCCAGGAGAGAAGCTGAAAGACTCTAATTCCCAGAGGTCATAGCGGAAGCTGCGCTTGCGCAGTCTGAGTGAGGGCGTGTGTGTCTGTGTGTCTCTGAGGGAGAGCGAGCGAGAGTGAGTGAGTGTGAGTGCGGGCTCGGGTGGTGGCCGTTAAACGTTCGGCGGAGCGGCTTAAAGCAGCGGAGAAGAAGAGAAACAACGTCGTGGTGCTTCCGCCCCCGCTTAGGTAGGAGGAGGAGCTGGTGGGGACAAGAAAGTAATTCGTCCTGAGCCTGGACTTTACCGAGTCTGGCCGGTGCGGGTCTGAGCTATGAACCTTTGAGGGTCGCTTGGGACGCCGAGAGAGACAAGAGAGCCAAGAGCTATGTCTCAGCCGCCGCCGCCACCCCCGCTGCCTCCGCCGCCTCCTCCCCCTGAGGCTCCTCAGACTCCGCCGCCCCTGGCGGCTGCTGCGGCGGCTGCTCCGGGGGGGCTCTCGAAACGGAGAGACCGGAGAATCCTATCCGGGAGCTGCCCGGATCCGAAGTGCCAGGCGCGTTTATTCTTCCCGGCCTCCGGTTCCGTCAGCATCGAGTGTACCGAGTGCGGACAGCGGCATGAGCAGCAGCAGCTGCTGGGGGTGGAGGAGGTGACCGACCCGGACGTAGTACTACATAACCTGCTGCGGAATGCGCTGCTCGGGGTGACAGGGGCACCCAAGAAGAACACGGAACTGGTAAAGGTGATGGGCCTTTCCAACTACCACTGCAAATTGTTGTCGCCCATATTAGCTCGCTATGGAATGGACAAACAGACGGGCCGGGCTAAGCTTCTCCGGGACATGAACCAGGGCGAACTGTTCGATTGCGCTTTACTGGGTGACCGCGCCTTCCTCATCGAACCAGAGCATGTTAACACAGTGGGCTATGGCAAGGACCGCTCTGGAAGCCTCCTGTATTTGCACGACACTCTTGAGGACATCAAGCGGGCCAATAAAAGTCAGGAATGCCTCATTCCAGTGCATGTGGACGGGGATGGACACTGCTTGGTGCATGCTGTGTCCCGGGCGCTAGTAGGCCGGGAGCTCTTCTGGCACGCTTTGAGAGAGAATCTTAAACAGCACTTTCAGCAGCACCTGGCCCGGTATCAAGCCCTGTTCCATGACTTCATAGATGCCGCTGAGTGGGAGGACATTATTAATGAGTGTGACCCTCTGTTTGTACCACCTGAAGGTGTCCCCTTGGGCCTGAGGAACATCCACATATTTGGCCTTGCCAATGTGTTACATCGCCCTATTATTCTCTTAGATTCCCTCAGTGGCATGAGAAGCTCTGGTGATTATTCAGCTACCTTTCTGCCTGGGCTCATCCCCGCAGAGAAGTGCACTGGGAAGGATGGACGTTTGAACAAACCAATCTGTATTGCATGGAGTAGCTCTGGTAGAAACCATTATATTCCCTTGGTAGGCATAAAAGGGGCTGCTTTGCCTAAACTGCCAATGACTTTGCTTCCTAAAGCATGGGGTGTACCTCAGGACCTTATTAAAAAGTACATCAAACTTGAGGAGGATGGTGGTTGTGTTATTGGAGGAGACAGAAGTTTGCAGGATAAATACTTACTTAGGCTTGTTGCTGCTATGGAAGAAGTCTTTATGGACAAACATGGTATCCATCCTAGTTTGGTTGCTGATGTCCATCAGTATTTCTACAGGAGGACTGGGGTGATAGGAGTTCAGCCTGAAGAAGTCACAGCAGCTGCTAAAAAAGCAGTACTGGATAATCGCCTTCACAAATGTTTGCTCTGTGGTGCCCTTTCTGAACTTCATGTTCCTCCAGAGTGGCTGGCTCCAGGAGGGAAACTGTATAACCTGGCAAAAAGTACTCATGGACAGCTGAGGCCTGACAAAAATTACAGCTTTCCTTTGAACAATTTGGTTTGCTCATATGATTCAGTGAAAGATGTTCTCGTACCAGACTACGGATTGAGTAACCTAACAGCTTGTAATTGGTGCCATGGCACATCTGTGCGAAGGGTCAGAGGAGATGGGTCTATTGTGTATTTGGATGGGGACAGAACTAATTCTAGGTCCACTGGTGGCAAATGTGGTTGTGGATTCAAACATTTTTGGGATGGTAAGGAGTATGACAATCTACCGGAAGCTTTTCCTATTACTTTGGAATGGGGTGGAAGAGTGGTCAGAGAAACAGTATATTGGTTCCAGTATGAAAGTGATTCATCTTTGAATAGTAATGTTTATGATGTTGCAATGAAACTTGTTACCAAGCACTTTCCAGGTGAATTTGGGAGTGAAATCCTAGTTCAGAAAGTTGTCCACACTATATTGCATCAGACTGCCAAAAAGAATCCTGATGAGTATACTCCTGTAAATATAGATGGTGCTCATGCCCAAAGAGTTGGAGATATACAAGGACAGGAGTCAGAGTCTCAGCTCCCAACTAAAATTATTCTTACTGGACAGAAAACAAAAACTTTGCACAAGGAGGAGTTAAACATGAGTAAAACTGAAAGAACTATCCAACAGAATATTACAGAACAATCAACTGTAATGCAGAAACGGAAAACAGAGAAGCTAAAACAAGAACAAAAAGGGCAACCCAAGACTGTTTCTCCCAGTACCATTCGCGATGGTCCATCCTCTGCACCTGCTACCCCTACCAAGGCCCCCTATTCACCATCAACTTCTAAAGAGAAGAAGATCCGAATAACAACTAATGATGGACGACAGTCCATGGTTACACTTAAGTCTTCAACAACCTTTTTTGAACTTCAGGAAAGCATAGCCAGAGAATTTAACATTCCTCCATATTTACAGTGTATTCGATATGGCTTTCCTCCTAAAGAGTTATTTCCACCCCAAGCAGGAATGGAAAAGGAGCCAGTTCCTTTACAGCATGGTGACAGGATTACAATAGAGATTCTAAAAAGTAAAGCAGAAGGTGGTCAGGCTGCTGCAGCACACTCCGTGCAGGCTGTGAAACAAGAGGAGATTGCTGTTACTGGTAAACTGTCATCTAAGGAACTTCAGGAGCAAGCTGACAAAGACATGTACTCCTTGTGTCTTTTTGCAACATTAATGGGTAAGATCAGTTTAACTCGGATGTGTTATTTCTTAATTGTGAATATGATACCCTGAATTTTTCTTTTCTTTGTGGAAAAAAGTCTAATTCATTGTAAAAGCCATTTGATTACATATTTTAGGAGAAAATTATTTTCTTTAGTGTTTTTGACAGCTGGCAGACATGAGTGTGATTTTCTGCTGAGTAGATAATAGGAACACATAACTTACGAAGTGAAAGGTGTCTCTTTACTTTCCTTATCTGTCACTTGATTATATAACTTATTCTTATAATTGCTTTTTTCAAAAATATTTCTGTATCCATTTAAAGCTTTTTTCATCCCCTCCCCCCCTTGGCTTTATTGAGCCTGCCCACCTTGACCATTATCATTTATTTTTAAATTTTCTTTTCCTGCATGTCATGTGATATCAGGACTTCCTGTTTGATGAATTGCAGTTTCTGGTGTTTATATTCTCACTGCATTTCCACCTAATAGTCTCTCTCCTCCATTTCCTGCTCCCCCTTTCGCAGTTTATCACATTTTTGTTATTTGTACATTAGGATTTGTGTTTTAAGTAATTTCCTGGCCTAGTAACTCTTTGCCGTTAATTGTAACGAGCTGTTATAATTCATGAAAACAAGAAACAGAAGTAGATGTTAATGGGGTTGCTTAAGACAACATTTCTTTTTTAAAATACAGCATAAATTAAAGGAAAATATCAATCAGATGTTTTTAGCTTTAGATGATTTGGGATATCCAATTGTGCACTTTTTACATTATTTTTATTTGCTTGATCTTTATTTTTAAATCAGTATAAATATGCTTTACTAAGGCTTAAAGTAGCAGTAAAATTTGAATATATTACATATTAAAGGTCTGTATTTTTGTTGAGATTGGAGCTTTCAACTAGAAAAGTGATCTGAGTTTTGATTGTATTTTCTAAGAGTACCAAATATCAGTGACTTGGGCCTTGTCTGTCTGTCTACCAAAATGAAGATGACTTATTCCTGGCTTACATTTAGGTACCTAGTAGTTAATTGGAGATTTAAAAGCCCTACACAAATGTATTTTTTTAGCACTGGGCAACGCTGTTTTTTTTTGTTTTTTTGGTATCATTAATCTACAATTACGTGAAGAACATTATGTTTACTAGGCTCCCCCCTTCACCAAGTTCCTCCCACATACCCCATTAGTCACTGTCCATCAGCATAGTAAGATGCTGTAAAATCACTACTTGTCTTCTCTGTGTTGTACAGCCCTCCCTGTGGCCCCCCCCCACATTATACATGCTAATAGTAATACCCTCTTTCTTCTTCCCCGCCCTTATCCCTCCCTTCCCACCCATCCTCCCCAGTCTCTTTCCCTTTGGTAACTGTTAGTCCATTCGTGGGTTCTTTGATTCTGCTGCTGTTTTGTTCCTTCAGTTTTTCTTTGTTCTTATTCTCCACATATGAGTGAAATCTTTTGATAAAAGCCCTACACAAATTTATAACTTGATATTGCTGATTTTATTTTGGCAAACACATCATTAAACTGGGAGATATGTCAAGAAAAGTACTAGGCATTTATGTTTTTCTATATTGTAAGAGTTTTTAGTTTCTTAGAGACTGCGTGGAATAGAGGAAAGATTGTGTGATCTTTGGAGTCAGAAAGATGTAGAATTTGAATCTCAGCTCAGTACTCACATGATAAATTTTTTTTATTGATATAGAATCTCCTATTAGTTTCAAGTATACAACACAGTGGTTCAGCAGTTACCCATATTATTAAATCCTCACCCCCACTAGTACAGCTTCCAATACTTATTAACTTATTGATTTCAGACAAGCTACTTAACTCCCCAGTACTTTGGTTGTTGCCTCTATACAAAATACCTCTTGTAGTGAATACACAGGGCAACAGTAAAAGTACCCCCAGAACACTGAACAAATAACACCAGCACAGAATGGATGAAATTAGATATATGCAGAAAGCACTTTGAAAAACTGGCTATGTCCCAGGTCAAAAACAGGAAAGAGAGGGTCTTCCTCAATAGAAGATATTCTTGAGGATGTGGCTCATATCTTACCTAACCTTAGATGCTCAGCACCTGTGTAGTGCCCAGCAGGAAGTAGGCATTTCAAAATGTTTTTGGTTGAATTAAATAGATGGTATTAATATATCTAAAGGAAGGCTGTGTCAGCAGAAAAGGAATGGATGGTCAGCGCTGAACATTGAAAAAGCATTGAAAAGCAAAATTTGGCACTGTTTATAATACTGCTGTATAAAAAGAAAAAACCGATCGTTTGGGTTCATGAAAATTCTGGTAACTAGAAAGGTAATCTCTATTCAGGGGCAGGAATATTTGATCAGTCCTCACCAAAGCCTGGCTAAAAGCTCTGTATCCCTTTTACTGATAACATATTCATCAAGCATCTATTCTGGTCACTCGTTTAGCTTCCTGATTCAAGTATTGTTGTAAAGGTGAAAGTGCAGATGAGGATTCTGTTCACTTGGAAGGCTCTGTTTTCCATTGTAGATTAATTAAATTGGCATGAGTGAGATTATGATAAGTAGTCTTAAAGTCCAGTTAGCATGATAATATATTTCATAATGATAATTAGTATAACACAATTCTGGTTTATCATTAGTCACTTTTTGAGTTTGGTTTGAGGTTTCTGGACCTGAATATCAGAGAACTAGACTGTGAACTGAAATGGGTTCACCAAGATAATGTCTTCATATTATGATCCCTTCCCCTTTCACCTCCAGCATTTATGTTGCTTCCCCTACAAACCCACAAATCTCTTTAATCTACTCTCAACGCAAAATTTGAGCATAAAAAGAGTGTTTTGCTAATTTTATAATGGTAGCACTTGAGAGACTTCCTGCTTTAAAGTACTTAGACAGTGACTGGCCTGTAATAGACCTTCCTCTTATTTTCTTTTAACTATTTGAATTATGTACAGGATATTCTTAATAAAAAGTGATGTGTTTGTAAAAATGTCAATTTGGGCATAGCTGTATACACATAATTCACCTTATGTACAGAGTGCTAGGCAACTCTTGATGTTTATTTAGATTGGAGAGGGCTAGAAAATGTAAAATGACAGGGCTTATTTAGATAATTGTAAATTTCAAAGTGCAGAAGTTAGTTTGTGAGTTAACAAATGTGAGCAAAGCTCCTGATGTGTTAGTTTAGAAAATATTTCCTCAAGTTTTATTCTGTTCAAATAGCTGGCTCATTCTCATTTAGGTTTAGGCTTAAATACCACCTTCTTGGATAGGCTTTTTCCTGACCACCTTATCTCAGGGTTTGAGAGATGTGCGAATCACTGTAAGGAAATCCCCTCTATCACTGTATTTTAATCTCCACAAAGGCAGAGATGGTAGCCTGTTTTATTCACCGATGAATACCCTTTCACCTAGTACGGGGCTTGGTATTTATTAGGTACCAAGTAAATTCATTCAACTTGAATGAATGAATAGAGATTATTTCAGCAAAACGAATGTCTGCTATGAGCTAGAGGCTGTTCTGGAGGTACAAAGATAAAAGAGACACAGTCTTTGCCCTCCATAAATTTACCTGCAGGATCTCAACTGAGGACATCCCATACTTTTATAGTTTTCATTTATAGTTCTTATGTATAGAGAAAAGAAAGGTGGAGATTACAGATTGTTGATGAAAGCTATAAAGATATGGAATGTATATATGTATATGTGTGTGTGTGTGTGTGCATATATATATATATATATATATGCACACACACAGGACTATATTTTTATTAAATAGGCTGACTGCTTGATAGCCAGGAACATATGCTTTTCCTTTCTTCTGTTTTAAAATAGAAAATTTATTAAATAGAATTTATATCTATTATTTATTTATATCAACAAGTGCAGTAGTCTTGCTCAGTATCAACCTTTAATGAAACTAGTCATTTTGAATCTTATGATGGTAGTTTAAAACTAAATAACAGTGTTCTACCTATAATCTTTCACTTTTTACCCAGACCTCTTAGAAGTTACTGAATAATTTGTAAAAATTTTCATTATTTAAGTAGTATGAGTGACTCTAATTCTGGCATTTCAAAATAGGTTAACAATTTTCTGTAAACCATTTTTTTTGTGGATTTTCTTTTGTAGTAGATATGATAGATGGTACATCATTTACCATAAATACTAGGCTAATTTCTTTTTTCTTAGTATTGTGTTCCACTAAATTTCTAGTTAATTTTCTTTTTTCAAGAGATAAAGACAGATTTGTGAAAAACAGAATTTGTCAGTTTGGAGTTACTCTAATGGAATTAGGTAACTTGTGATATTTACCCTACTTTACTACAAAGATTAGCAGCTTTTCAGGAGTTGAGAAGCTTGTTTGATTTTTATATACTTTCTGTCTTCTTGAAAAAACTGTATGAGTTTTTAATACACATTTTTTAAGTGCACAGTCTTTTATAATTTCGTAGTACCTCTTGATATTGTAATAGCCTTGGGATTTTCCAGTCACACTTGAGATTCAAACACTTGTTTTTTAGATTACGTTGGGTCTGAATCTCATTATTGCATGTTTATTTTTTTTCTTCAAATGTTGGGTGAAGGCTAGTTTTAAATCTAGATAGTACTTAATATATATTATTATTCTTCGTGCCATCTCATAATCCTTCTAATTGCTTTATATCCAGCATATTTCTAATGGGAGAGGGCATAAAGTTGATGCATATAGAATGATGCATATAGAATGTATCTTAAGATAAATGTATGTGTTGTAAATGGTTACTTTATACTATCATAATTTGAAGATTAATTTAAACATTGATTCTATTCCTTCCTGTGCTTAGCTATTTTGATACCCTTTTATTTTCCTTCATATTTTTTCAATTATAAGATAATATTTTTTAAAATTCAAAGAATTCAAATATGTATAAAATTAAATGATAGTTCTAACAGGTGCACTACTGTGAGAAATCAGATGCTCTGTGTGCATATGTGTGTGTGTACACATTTACATACAGGTTTGTGTGCAGGAATGTGTATGATA